GGGGGGGGGGGTGCAAATCATTGCATGCCTAATGTAGCTTGCAATGACACCCAGGGCTGTAAATAAATATTTGACTTGACAGGACATTTGTCCGATCACTTTTAATTTTGGTCGGTTAATTTTGGTCGGACATAACCTGAATTTGGTCGGACAAAAACCAACATCACTAAATTTGGTTGGACATATATACGTCACAAAATATATATATAAGTCACGAGACAAGTATGTATGCCATTTCGGTGCAACGTTAAGTAAGATTAAATGCTAGAATGCCTCGTAAATTTTATTGCAAAATGCAAATTAAGTGAATTTACAATAGGATTTTGTCACAGCAAAAAAATGTATAATGTGACAATTTTTTTGGTAACCGGACCAATTTGTCCGATCAAAATTACTTTTGCTCGGATATTTGCCAAATTTAGTCGCACATTGTCCGATGTCTGACAGTAATTTACAGCCCTGTGCACCCTACTTTATAATTTTACTTTGTCTTACTACTTTGTTATTTACTCTTTATTATTACACTCTGTCATGTTTTCCTGGACAAATTTGTTTCTTGCTGTTCTTAGGCTCAATTACAAAGTGATTTTCAACCCTACTATCAAGCACAAAACACGAGAAAGTATTTGGCATGAAAATGAGGCCATTGGGTAAAAGAGAATGATCAGTAAGGTAAAATCAAGGTAAGGTAAACAAGGGAAAATCAGCTTTAGCCGAACACGTGTGTGACACCAACACACAAGATTGCGTGGGAAAACTCTAATGTAATTACCACAAACAATCGCTACGGTCAAAGACTTTGCCTAGAAGCGTGGCATATAAATATAATCATGCTTTGAATAGGGATGACGGTGCCTATTTGCCAGAGGAATACATGCATTTCATTGGCAGATGACGTCATCCCTTGGGTATTTACGAAGCCGCGATTGCAGTTTTAGATCACCCCTGACGAAGACACTAGACTGGAGTGTCGAGATCTTGATTACAATTCGACTGGGCTTTGTGATGATTTATTGAAACCAGAGTGGCAAGCGAAACATGATTGATATACCTTGTTGCAGTGAGCGAACAAACTTTAAATACAAAAAAATATTTGAAAGACATTATGTTTACATAAAGTCCTCGTCACAGTGACAGGGGATATGAGTTGGACCCAAGGTGGGCAGCTAGATCATACAAACAAGCCCTAAATCAGAGCATTAATATTGTTGAAAATGTACGATAAAGGTATTAATATTTGTACCAACGCATGGCAAGTTTTGCACCGGATGTATAAGCGGTGAATTCAAAACAAATAGAATTGAGGAATTGCCAAAAATCGCACATGGAGCCAAATTTGAAGGTGAATAAAAATAAAACCATTTCTGTCCAAGGAATGCTTGTCCTATATTCACACTAATACTGAGTATAAACCGAATAGAATATATATATACTAGACATTTGTATAGATCTATTTTTAACACGTAAACAAAAAAAAGTGTTGTCATATTATATTTGATATAAAAGCATCCGTATTACTTACCTATTATCACCTTTCACTCCAGACTTTGAACTATCTACAGTCGGTACGGACATGCTTTTATTTCTAACGGGCGAAGCACGGAAGGACGATGCCCTGATGCCTTCTCGGACAGGACTGGCGGTGGCCTTGCCCGAATTTATATGAGTATAAAAACCATTTAACTTTGTGGATAGACTTTCATGGCCGTTGGTATGCGCCTGTTTCTCCAAGTACGTAGAGATGTCGATGTCTTTGTCCAGTATAACGCCGTTTTTATGCTTTGCTTTCATCCCGGCAAGATTGGTTGTTTTGTTTTCTTGTGAACTATCAATTGCAGCTTCGGCCGCCATATTGTATAGACTCACGTGTATTTCGGTCACGTGGTACAAACCGACCAATCATATTCGCCGGTTTTGTTAGCGTCCTCGGCTAATGTATTGCGAAAATGAAAGATGGCGAAAATCTTGAAAAAGAGCTAAAATAATAATTTTAAATATTTTTTTATTCTAAACTCCATTTGCAATACATTGTTTTTCCAGTATTGGACGTTTTTCGTATAAAATTGAATATTTTTGTCATTTCTGGACGTGGACTTTTTTCTTCATAAAACTGCACGGAGCTGCCTTAATTAAATTAATTATTCACCCGCACCACGCGTGACGAACACGCATCATCACGTGACAGTCACGAAGCGTTTTGAGTTCGGCGTGGTTAGAAGGAAAGAAGAAACATATTTTCTATGTATATTGAAGATTTTTGTTGATTTTTATTGAAATTTCTGCTGCTTTTCTTACAAGGCAGGCATCGATCTTAGCAAAAGACTCCAAGGAAAATCTAGAGTCGTTCAAGTAATGTACTTTTGTGTTAATTTATGAAATATTTTGCCGAAAAGCCAAGCTGCTCAAAACTCAGAAAGAATACAAGTCATACAAACTTGGTCGAAATCTATGAATATTTTGTTGTGAATAGCTGTATTTCGTAGATAAATATGTTCGAGATTAATTCTTCACTCTATTATGCTGTTCTGTGAGTAGTTTTTGAGTAAAACAAGCGTTTTTTTCCCAGATTTTAAGCTTTTATACGTTGTTTCCATGAAATCGACTTCATATTTCATATAAATGAAATATTTAAAAAGTGTACATTTTAATACACACTCAAAATAGTGAAAAATTTTGCACGCTCAACGCTTGATTGCAAATGATAGTAATGAACGTTAGTTATAGAATCGCAACAAACAGCCAGCAAAGCTAACTTGTTTATTTTTGCGCCCTTTTATAGCTGCTCATTGCAAGCTCTTGGATAGTGCTAGAAAGAATATTGCCTTTGATATCAACGCTATAAGTGTGTGCGCCAACCAACAAGCGCATCGCCGCAGATCGCTGTGTATGCCCAAGTATAGTGCGCTGCGTAAAGAGCGCATTTCAAGCAAATCAGCTGCACGCAAGGTCACCGACGACGCTAAAAGCCGCAGGCAGACGACGCAGCGACAAGCGTAAGAAATAGTTCATAATGTCAATGGAAGGTGAGAACCCTGGCATTAAAGATCAGCAAAATGACGAGCAAATCTGTCGAGATTTTCAGCGAGGCGTTTGCAGCCGCGGGGATAAATGCAAGTTTGCCCATCCGTCCGGAATGGGAAGCGAGCCCAAAGAGCAGCCGATGATATGCCGTGATTTCCAGAACGGCACATGCCATCGGAGCACGTGTAAATACCTCCACGTGACGAACCAAGAGGAGAAAGATTACTTACGCACCGGACAGCTTCCGGGTAACTCCCGTGGGGGGCGGGGGCGCGATTCCAACATGCAGGTCTGTAAAGATTTCCTCAACAACAAGTGCAACCGCGGGGCAGGCTGCAAGTTCCGTCACGTTCCCGAGGAAACTATGTACGGCAGTGGAGGGGGGTACTACGATGAACCCCCGCGGAAACGACCTCGGGACGGCATGGGTGACGATTACCGGTACCTCATGGAAGAGAATGTCTCGCTGAGAAGAAAAGTCTCCGAGCTTCAAAAGGATGTTGCAGATCTTCGTGCCACGAATGATATTCTCTTGGAGCAGAATGCTCGGTACAGGCGATCCGGGGGTAGCAGTTCCGCATCGTACGGTGGGGGTTATGCAACCGACTCCTACGGGAATGCTGCATCCAGCGTAAGTTACCCGTCCCGGGATTCCTACACGGCTACTGGGAACTACAACTCCTACGCCACTCCAAAGCAGGCTGGGACAACCGGCTATGATGGTTATACTGACTTTAAGTGAGAACACTTTGTGGACTTTTTAATCTGGTTTTAATGCTCTCTTTTCATATTGACAGTATGCATAGAAAACAGACTTATTAACTTTCAGGCTGCTTTCTAGTTACGTCTTGTTATTTGTAAACGCATTGTTGGAATTTGAGAAGAAATGTAGTATATATATATATATATATATATATATATATATATATATATATATATATATATATATATATATATATATATATATATATATACAGGGTGTATAAAAAAAAACTGAACAGATTTAAAATTGCTCTCAATTTCGCAAAACAGCTATTTGTATCTGTTTTTTTTTATATATATAGCTTCTTTGGGTACTTATAATGTAAAATAATGGAAAAAAATTTCTCGAACTCAAATTTTGTGAACCAGGGGGGGGGGTGTCTTTTCCAACAAATTAAAAATGGCTCGCGCACAAAATTTAAAAGCTGCAATCATATTTTGAGTTAACAGAA